ATTCTGTAGTAACATTACACTTAATACACTGTCTTCCAGTTATTAATACAGTCAAATACTGAGAGGAAGTGAACAGAGAGCGGGGTTCGAACAGTGTTAGGTTGTACCACTAACACAACTCACTGCCTCTACCACAACACCACAATGCCACGACTTCTTAATTATCTTTTTTACACTTATTCGCAATTCTTTTGGGTTTGTTTGTTTGTTTCATCTTTTCTCATAAAATACAACATATGTTTTAACGATTGTCTTATAAACAGTTGAAAGAATCACTATTAGTTATTGCAAGACACATTATTGATCCATCCATTCAATTTGTTTTTCTTATATCCTCTGCATCACTCCTGGTTAGTATAAACAACTCTCAAACACTGCCCATAACATCCAGTCATCGAACTAAACGTCGTGCCACAGCAGACCACCGTACCAGGGGCGAGGACAGAGCTACCTGTGACACCAAAAATATCCAGGATTCCTACACTCCCACGCGGAACCTTGACGTCCTTCTCGCGTGGCGGGCGCCGAGGAAAAGTCGCCCGACAGAATTCCCAGCCTCGAAAGTACCCTCGCCCGCCCTCCAGCCCGCCCGCAAGAAAACTCGGCCCGTTTTCTTCCAGGGAATGACTAGCTAATGCAACTTTACTTAGTTCAGGTGGACAGATGGTGGTGGCGGCCTCAGACGCAGGTTTTATTACATTATGGCCGCGATAAATGGTCGAATAGGAAAGTTTTTTATTGCTCCCAAGAGAGAGAGAGAGAGAGAGAGAGAGAGAGAGAGAGAGAGAGAGTGTGTGTGTGTGTGGCAGGAGAGGATAGAGGAACAAGCAGCCGAAGATGTGTATATGAGAGGGGGGGTTGGAGGGGGGGTTGGAGGAGGGATGGAAGGAGGGAGGAGGTGCTGGAGGGTGGGAAGGAAGGAGACCCGAGTCCTGCCTCACCACTGTGCTAAAAACGGGTCAGGAAGGAGAGCGTAAATACGGGTTATAGTAGAAGAAACACTACTGCTGGGGTTTATGTTATGGTTAAAGCTATAAGTTCAAGGGGTTAGTACCTGTCCTCCTCCTCCTCCTCACACGGTTAAATAATATAAAATGAGGAATATTCTGAACTGGACCCAAACTACAGTAATATAACAATATCGTGTGTGTACAGGAGAGTATTATAAGGATAGATCAGTAGCTAAACAAACACATAACGGTGTAGGTGTACAGGTAAGGCGGTCCATCACGACACCACTGCGAGGGCTGTCTGTTAAGTGGCCCCCCTCAGTTTTAATATTCCTGGATCCACATAACTATTAAGATTGGGGTCCATTTGACGCAGCGGTAGACAGTAAGAGGCGTGGCCGTAGACAGTAAGAGACGTAGCTGTAGACAGTAAGACCTGACCTGACCTAACCTAACCAAACCCCCCAGGAAGCATTAGGATGGTTAATCTTCAGGTGAAATAAGCTGTGTGTGTCTAATCTTCAGGTGAAATAAGCTGGGGTGTCTAATCTTCAGGTAAAATAAGCTGGGGTGTCTAATCTTCAGGTGAAATAAGCTGGGGTGTCTCATTTTCAGGTGCACTCAGAAAACACAACACGTTATGCTACTAACACGATTACAACCAAGCTACACGCGTTAGATCCTGCGACACGTGACACCTCGATCGCATTACCAAACACTGGCTGGGTTCTTGTAGGCCTTCCTAGCTAACCTGCGTCCTGCACTCTCCGGGATTCACGACAAAATGTTAATGTTTGCGTTTTGTTTTGTACACTTTGGAAATCTAACCTGCAAAACTAATCTAATCTAACCTAACTTAATCTACCCTAACCATCAACCTTCCCCAGCACCACGCCCCTCCACCACACCACCTTCCCAAAACCACGACCACCCACCCCCCAACCACCCCAGGATCCTCCTCCCTCCACCATCACACTTCTATCATGACTCCAAACACCCACCTGCCGTTAATTACTTCAGGTGTTGAGAAATTCATTAAGGTAACCAGGTGAGGTAGTGTGGTACTTCACTAAAGGGAACCTAACCCAACCTGAACCCAACCCAAGCCAACCTAAACCTAACCTAAGAAGCAGTGGAATATCCTAAGCCAAATCTAAACTCTTCAAATGATAAATATTACGCCACTGGTTACTTTCAAACATCGTCAGGATATCATCTTCTCTGAGCCATTGTTTATCTTCCGAGTGTTAGTTTGTTCACTCCAGGAAGCATTTAATTTTTTATTTATTCCGGGAGTTGAAAATTAGGTAATGGATTGCAAGATGATTTAGCAAGAGTGAAGGTAAATTGTTTGTGTGTTAATGCTCGTCCATCTTAACTAGAGCAATGTAGACATGCGGGACAAGAAGCATTATTATTTTCGTTTTTAATGAGAAACAGGTTGCTGAAAGGTAAGGTAAGGTTAGGTTAGGTTAGGTTAGGTTAGGTCAGGTTAGGTTAGGTTGGGTTGGGTTAAGTAAACAATACCATCAGATATATGTCTGTAGGTCACCTGATACAGTATACCGCTCTGGTCTGGGAACGGACAGAGGGAAAGGCTGCCTTCCCCGACTTTTTTAACCTGACCAGCAAAAAGAAAACTTAACACAATCTAATCTAACCTAACCTAACCCAACCCAACCTAACCCAACCCAACCTAACCTAACCCAACCCAACCTAACCAGACACACAATTCACGTAATAGTATCGTATTCTCTTTTTATACTCACCAGGGAGAGAAAAAAAATTTGGTTGAGTTGTATCATCGCGGCTTTCTAAATTCCTGGGTGGAGACGCTGTGAGGTGCCGCAGGTGATGTGCTCTTCCTGCCACACTCCCCCCCTGCCACACTCTGCCACACTATACTACACCCTCCCCCTGCCACACTACACTGACCCCACCTGCCACACTATACTACACCCTCCCCCCTGCCACACCTAGACCTCCTTCCCCTGCCACTACACTAGACCACCTACACTATACACACCCTCCCCCCTGCCACACCACACTAGACCCTACCTCCCTCCCCTGCCACAGTATACTACACCTCCTCCCCTGCCACACTACACTAGACCCTACCTCCCTCCCCTGCCACACTATACTACACCCTCCCTCCCTCCCTCCCTCCCACACCTCACCACACTATAGCACATCACACAACAGAGCACAACTTTCTAGAACCTCCATCTGAGAAAAGAACATCACAATGCAGACGCAACACAGCACCATAGAACACAACACCATAGAACACAGCACCATAGAACACAGCACCATGGAACACAACACCATAGAATACAGCACCATAGAACACAACACCATAGAACAACACTTCAGAACAGTACTGCAGAATTCTACATCCTAGAAATGAACATCCAAAACATAACATGATAGATCACCATAACAAAAACTAGCACCCCCACCATGCCACAGAACACTAGAGAACACCACATTAACGTCAAAGAACACAAAAGAACACCACATAACGTCAAAGAAACACAAAAGAACACCACACAACATAACAGAATAAGAAAAACACAACTCAACACTCCCATACATAACACGCGTGACCTCTACTACACAAGTCCACGGGGGTTAATAACAACATTACCAGCAGCAATCACATTACAGTATCTCCCTCCTTCCTCCCACCAGACTTCCGCAATGAGAAACCTAAATAATGTCCTTCCGTGATATGTGGCAGTAGTTGGTTAGGTTAGGTTCGGATAGGTGTGTAAATATGCATGTTCTCTCATGCTGTCTTACACTACATAACATTTCTTATATTTTGAACCTTACATTGCAGCATAAGGGGTGATGTTCTGACACGCTATAGCAGTGACATATAAGGTATAAAAGGGTGGCAGCGGTGGGATGATCTGTGTGGTGATTGACTCGTTGGTTGATGGGTGAAGCAGCCAGGGTGGGCATTTCACTGCATTACAATATTGAAGTTCACAAATAAGTTCAATCGACTTTAAACTCACTCGAGGCGATCAGTGAAACCTGTGTTGACTCTATTCTAAGGAGATGTGTAGGGCTTCATGCAGCACACGTGACTATACACAATAGCGGGTTATAAACTAATACAGCTTTGTGCTGAATATAGTAAATCAAATCATCAAGTTTCTTAGCCGAGAGTAAAAACAGTAAAAGTTTGACTCCTCCATTTATTATTTATATAATATTAACCAGCTACAAGCAGTGAATCGCTCACTTAAATACTCAAGTTTGTAGAATTTCACCACAAACGATAAAACATAATAGTTGACATTAAATGAAAAGTAATATTGAATCCTGTGGTTTAATAAGTCTCTCGATATTGTTTTAAATAACTCAAATTCAACTCTGAGTTTCTCTTTCTTCTGAGGGACAAAGAAACTGCTTGTGTGTCTGGGAGGTGAGGTCGAGGAAGAGTCACCCAGCAATAGAGTGAGTGAATGAAGTGTGTGTAATTTTCAGGTAAAATACAAACTTAACAAAACAAGATAGACCGTTTAAATCCTTTTCACCGACATTATTTCATATTATTTAGGAAGCATGTACTCAGGAACATAATACACTGTACAAAATAAGCCGTTAAGAGATAGTTGTTAAAGCTGAACAAAACAGTAATTCAGTTCAAGAGTGTCACACATATTTACTGAATTATTATTCTTTAGTTTTTTAATTTATCCTACATTGAATTTTACGTTTTTTAGCTTTGCTGTTTGTAATTGTCAACAGTCCTCAATTTTTAGCTTTGTTGTTGTTTGCAATTGCCAACAGCCCCGCCAAAAACACATTCCCTCCTAATAGTTCAGTATGTAGTCATGACCGTTGATAAGACTCCTTGGTTGAACACACTACACACACAGTCACGGTACTTCCTGTGTTTTAAACTTACGAACGAACTTAAGACAGCATCAATTAGTCTCATTAAAATTAGTTACATCTGCAGACAATCAACCAGACACCAACAGATGAATAGAGAGTGAAGTACTACTGACGAAGGACAGGTGTTCGTAGCCTTACCTTCTCATCGTGTAGGCGGAGTTTGGCGGACTGTGCGCTGACCTGCCGTTCCAACTGGCCGATGGTCCGCTCCTTGGCCCGAAGTTCATCCAGCTGGTAAAGTAAACACTTGGGTGAGCTTACACACACCACCTCTATACTTCTCTCCTAACACATGGGCAAAAATAACAGGATGATTTAAGCACGGTGAACAGTGTTAGCAGGGGGGACTTCAGTGAAAATATGTACACTGTTAGTAAGCTGTTTCGTGTTTACTCTGTTTTTTCTCGTTTTTATATTCATGTGTCTCTGCACCTCAAGACATTGCACAGAGTCACGGCAAATATATACGAGCGTGAGAAGAAAGATGAGAGAGTTGGAGGCTATTTTTTTTAATGTGCATATTTTTTTTTTATTAATTTATCTATTTGTATCAGCAGCTCATGGTAGTAATGAGGTGTTGAAGAGCGACTGCTGCCTGCCTGTCTGTCTCTTGCTCCTCTCCCTCCTGCCATCCCCTCTTCCCCTCCTAACCACCACACACAAGGCATTGCATCTTACACAAACATCAGCTCAAACATAGCAACACAGACCAGGGCAGTGTTGAAGCTCTTACTGTGTGTCAGGGAGCATTTTAACCCTTGGTCATGGACTGCCACCCCAGGAAAATAATACAGGGTGTCCATATATGATTACCCTGATTAAAGCCACTGTTTTAGGGTAATCATTTATGGACACCCTGTATATATTGAATGTATGTGGCAGGATAGAGGGGAAGACCAAGGGAACGGAAGGGGATGGACGGACACCAAGGAAACTGCAGTGAGTATGAATGAGGGCAGAGCATTGTGTTGTCGAGTGGTTTCTAGGGAAGGACAAACTGCTGACGCGTGAGTCTGGTTATGAAGGGACAGATCTGAAGCCTCGTTGTGGAAACTAACATAGCAGCAGTAAAAATGGATCCTTGACAATAAATGAAGGGAGAATGGGCGTATTTACTCTTGATTCTGTCCACTCTGAGTCAAGTAGAAAAATAATTGAAAAAGAAAAACGGCACAAAATTAATAAATATATTCTAAATACGTTAGATTTCGTTCAATAATTTCTACAATATCAAGTGAGACTGACGTGAAAGGTAAAATGTTAGTTGTGATCTGTAGTGATATTAGTGAGGTCTTGGGCTGGTGGGACCAGGAGCTGCTTAACACAACATTCATTTAACTCGAGGTGAAAACGACTTCGTCTCCTTAATCTGAATTGGTTTTGATATCTGAACCTGAATTTGCACCACAGTTTCTGACATTATAAAATTAAATGAAGTTAATTTGTGTGGAGGAGACAGAGATTGACAGTATCGCTGCCCAACTGCCCGCCCGGGACAGTAGTGACACAGCAAGACGGGGCAGGTTTTTTATGCCCTGACATGCCCGACGGGTCTGCTGGCTCTAAAACTTAATATCCACCCCATCATTTCTCTCTGCTGGATAGTCTCACACAATTAATACTGACGTGTGTGAGAGAGCGAGAACTTTCCACACAGTTACCCGAAGTTTCAATTCATAGACCAAAACTGTAACAACTAACAGTATAAAAGTTCTTCAGCTTCTTGACGAGAGCCACTGAGACGAGAGCCACTGAGCCGCTGTACGTTGTGACAAGAAGCTCCCTGAGAAAGTTGACCTTAATTTTTTTTTCAAGGCGTGAGAGTTGGTACATCGTGAGAGTCTAGGAAACTTGATGACTATGGTATCACCGGATCCCCCCCCTCCTCCTATGAAGTCAATGACGAATATCATTATCAGTTCTTACATGTTCCTGGAGGAGGTTTTTACTGTGATAGTAATTGGTTTCTTGTCTACCTGGAAGTTCACCTGGGTAGACTCCAAAGGCCTAATATGATATAGTTCCCCACGCCATTACCAAGGTCTTTTTGGTCCCTATACCACCCTGAATAACTCCTCTAATGCTAAATCAAACTTGACTCTCAATAATTTAACACACTCACCAGTCGCGCTGCCTCGGACTTGTTGCCTCTATGTATCTTAGCGATGGCAGCTTCGTGCTCCTCGTGCAGTCTCCGGAGCTCACTGGCACGCTTACGCTCTGTCTCCTGAAGGGTCTGATGAAGAAGGAGAAGAGCACACACACATCAGCTTCACTGTCTAATAATACTACTCTACAGATTTCTACACACACAAGACGTTTATTTACGACACATAACAGAGGATTTTCCAATGAGATCCAGTGTAAGGTAACTGAACACCTCGATAAAGGCTGAAGATAAACGTACAGTTCTCTATGATAATGGTCCTGCTCTTCTTCACTAAACGCGTCAACAAATTCCTTACTTGTATAGAAAAGGTCTTGTGTTATCGTTTGAGGAAGGTGAGAACAAATGAAACAGACCAGTATAAATATTTCACCAACAATCATTAAGTACAACGTTTTATTGGTATTCCAAGAGTTATCAATAATGTTTAAATTAACTGAATATTAGAGTTTCCTGTAGCAGATGGCAGTGAATACAAAATTATGTACCACGTGAATTATCGTTCTAACACAAAAAAAAGAAATCCTACATGAACTTGTTTAGGTTTGTTTTTGTTAGGGTGGTTTTATCTTCGTAGGAACGGTTTACCAATCCAGGCTGTGAAACAACAACAGGACTGGGCTTCAAAATGGTGGGATCCTACACAAGCCACTGGCCTCCTACCCTCGTCATTAGGTAAATAAGATAAGGTAACCAACATCGTGTCGCTGACTACCAAAATATTAATGTCTGTCATTTTCAAATATTACGAGAGATATTAAAAGGTAATAATACTAATTGAATGTGTGTGTGGGGCAGGATCCTTGTATTTAAGTAAGTTATCGCAGCATAACTTACAGAAAATGTAAGCGAAACTTAAGTGTAAGAGAACGGAGATTCCAGATTGTCTTACCGGGGCAACTCTTATATATTCAGTTGTTATCTGATTCATTCAACAAAATCTACTTCTATTATAATATGGAAGTATTATTTTTATTACCATGTGGAGTTTTTTATATCGTGTTTTCCATTTTTGGTTGACGTAATTACTAAACGAACCACATCCCAGTAAGTATCATTTTCATCAACAGTTTCCACAGATCACATGAAAAATCTCCACCCCAGTTTATTTCACCTAATGATTAACCACCCTAATACTATTTGGGGAGATGAAGTTAGGTTAATTTAGCGTTAGTCTGGTTAATCTTCTGGTGAAATAAGCTGGGTGGAGATTCTTTAACTAGTGGATGAGGAGCGTCAACACTGTCTCCGTAAGAAGCGTAATAAGCTTCTGACTTCACACACTCACGGTCTTAACTGAATGTTGGAAAATATTATCAAGAGGCTGAGGATCAATGAGTCTACAGCCTGAGTGCTGCATCCCGTAAATAGTTAAAAACGCGACTAACTTCATTGAATCAGAGTGATGAAATAAATATACATCTGTTTGAAAAATTCTTGTTATCAGACACATGAAAATTAACAGAAGTGATCTAAACCTGCCTTGACCTCAGGTGAATCTGTCAATCTACCTGAGGGCCGGTTATTATATGATAACCCTTCACTACACCATAACCGAACACGACGCCATTACCCCCCCACACTGCTCCCACGAGCGCAGTGACCAAGTATATATATATATATATGACTCAATTCTACTCTATCATCATACACGTCCAATATCTCTCCGTCATGAGTTAATTTTTATTTGCGTAAAGAGGTTTAACATAATAAGAACAGTATCCAGGTATTTAAGACATTCACTAACTATCAGGCGGAAAAAGAACAGCTTGGTTAGGTTAATGTACGCTAGTGTAAATACTTCGAAAGACCAGCTCCAGCCCGGTAGACCGTATACCGGTACTACAGGGTAAATATCCCAGTAGACCGCATACTATAGTATTACCAAAGCATATAACACACAAGATGACGACTAATATGTTGAGTTACCTTGATACCTGTGTTGATGAGGGCTGTGAGGGAGTGAGGTGAGATGGTAAGGAGGCTGGGTGAGGTGTGAGGGAGTGAGGTGATGAGTAGTGTAAGGCGTTAAACTATAGTGTTGCGGAGAAGGCAAGGTGTGGCGGGGAAGGCAAGGTGTGGCGGGGAAGGCAGGCAAGGTGTGGCGGGGAAGGCAAGGTGTGGCGGGGAAGGCAGGGTGTGGCGGGGTAAAAGGAGAGACAGCGTGCTGCTCTACGTGAGTCGTGACAGACACACAACTGCGCCTCAGCCACCCTCACTTGGACGCACGCCATCTTGTAAGCCACCAACATTCACCTACAATTAATAACGTCAAGTGACTCCCACATCACACCCCTGCAGCCAGTCTCAGCAACCGGCACTCACCCACACCTCCCCCCACGAGTGACAGCGTCCCCATGACACAATGAAGAGTGGTCAGTATCCGTCATGGGAGGGGGGGGGGAACTCTTGCCGGAGATTACACCAGCAGGCAGCCTCTACCTCGTATGCTGACGATTGTACTGTATGTTTGTGTGTCTTCCACGCACTACACAATATCAACAACTCATGCTAAAAGCATTTCCTGAGAACATTTTCATCACGACGTATCTATTGACATACTCAGCTACTGTAATGTTTAGAGTGTGTCAGTCAATCAAGTCCAATGTTTTAGGAACATAGGATAACACGGGTTGGATATGACAAAATGTAATATACAAATAACTAAACACAAGATGCTTTATAATATCTCCCCGTGAAGAAAATAAGCAAAAACTTTTAGCATTTATTTACAGTGTTTGAGTATAACTGGTGTGTGATACAAACATCAGCACCACAGTAATTGTTTGGGTGGTAGGCCTGCATCTGTCCGGAGAGCTGGGGACACCACCACTACCCCGCCTAGCGACTTGCTTCATGAGCGCTCGGCGCAATCATCTATATGTGGCACTTGTGGCACTAACTAGAAACCCGCTTGTAGTGACTGGTATATTTTGGTTTACTAAGCATCATACTACACTACCATCATCATTATCTTCGTATTTCTCTCTAACCAAAGACCAGGGTTATTGTACAATTCTGTTCCACATGACAGTTTTTTTACAAACTTATTATAACTTTTCAAGCCCTGAATATTATACAGAAATACTTAAAAAATAAGATGAAGAAAAGAGGAAGATAGCTTACGGCCAAAACCAACACCACCCAGGATTACATAACTTACCCCTGGTAACAACAGTATTGAAACGTAAGCATACATAGCAAGTTTTCTTAACTTTAACCTAATACTTGGTGATAATTATGGTGAAAAAATATACAATTAATAAAAAGAATATGATAAAAAAAAACTCTATAAAGGAAAACCTATTTACAAAATACGGGATTTGTTATTATGAAGAATAAAACTGACGCCCAGAAACGCAGGAAATTGGAGAGAGAGATTCATCGGTCTAAGCTTCTTAAGGAAAAAAATAAGAAAATAAAAATAAGAAAAAATATATAAAAAAAATACTAAAGAACAATAAATTATATAAAATATTGGCAATAGCGTTGTCAATGATTCTCGTGTAAATTAAACGACAATTGATTCAGGATTTAACCCATACAGGAGGACTGACTGACTAGGGTGTTTTGGTTGGTTAGGTTAGGTTGAATCGACTCACTGTTTACCTTGTGTGTCAACCTGCAATATGTACATTATTATTCAATGTAACTTGTATGAGGATTTTACTGTCTGTCTGTCCGTGTGTGTCTGTCTGTCTGTCAATGTTTGGAGGAAACTGGGTGAGGGTGGACAGGGAAGGGGTAGGGTGAGGGGACGTAGGGAAGGGGTAGGGTGAGGGGACGTAGGGAAGGGGTAGGGTGATGGGAGGCGTGAGGGGACACAAACAAGGACGAGTTAGGGTGATGGGAGGCGGAGTAAACAGGTCGACACCATCAGAGGTCACAGTCATCAAGTCTCGGGTATCAAGCTACACTCTACACCTCCCAAGGCCACCTGTGTCTAAAGTGCATCACGTATACCACCATTATTCATCTCATACATACATACAATGAATCTTTTTTATGAATATGTATGACAAAAATTACGCTAGACAGCTTATGGGGGCTATTGACGAGCCAATCAACCCTGTGCCACCTGAGCCAACACTTACAAATTCCTCCTCTCTTCCTTCCCCACTCTTCTCCCTCACCCCCTTCCTTCCCTCCCTCACTCTCCCCCATCATTCCTCACCCAGTCTCCCCCTCCTTCCCTCCCTCCCCCTTCCTTTCTCACTCTCCCCCCCCTTCGCCTCCTTCCTCCTCTCCCCCCATCCTTCTCACCCAGTCTCCCTCCCTCCCCCTTCTTTTCTCCTCTCCCCCTCCTTCCTCCCTCCCTCCTCTCCCCCCATCATTCCTCACCCAGTCTCCCCCACCCCTCCCTCCCCCTTCCTTTCTCACTCTCCCCCTTCCTCCCTCCCCTCCTCTCCCCCCATCCTTCCTCACCCAGGTCTCCCCCCTCCTTCCCTCCTCCCTTCCTTTCTCTTTCTCCCCCTTCCTTCCTCCACTCCCTCACTCTCCTTACTGCACCTCTATCTTGGGCCTGACATTTATATCACCTCAGGGCTGCCTGCTCTTGCCTCCTGACACGTATGCTGTCTTCAAATATGATATCTTGCGTGGTGGTCAGGGCACTGTATGCTGTGTCAACTAATTGAATTTTGTAATAAGTCTAATCCATTGCGTAAATAACGTAAGCTGCTCAACACAATACATAATTTAACAATACCCTATTACAACCTCTCATAACACACCACTATCTCTCACAACACGCCACACCCTCTCACAACACGCCACAACCTCTCATAACACACCACAACCTCTCATAACACACCACTATCTCTCACAACACGCCACACCCTCTCACAGCGCCCATAAAAGACAACATCTCAAATCGTCTTCAGCCCATACGAGGGTTTCTACCGCCTCAAACAGGAAATAAACAATGCTGGTACAATTAGACACCTGACCAAGAAGAGGAACATCAACTGAACACGAGTCATATCTAACTCACTGAAATAACAACAACTACAACAACATCAGCTCTACCTTGTGTTGTCCATTCTATTTGGGGGAGTCTGCTTGAAGTT